TGCCGCCGCCGATCGCCCTGCTGCCCCTGCCCCTGCCGCCGCAGTATTTCATCGACATCCTGAGCCCGCGCCTCAGGGCCCGGTCGACGACGCCGAGGGCGACGGGGGGCCCGACAGTTCCGGATCGGGCATGATTCGGAAATGGCAAAGGGCCGCGGAGGAGCAGTCTCGACAGGACACAGTGACAAGGCGCCCACTGGACACCGAGAACCAGCGCGGCACGAAGGCACAGCGACATGTTCAACTAGAATCCACACCGCATGCTCTTCGACGTGACCGCGAGCCCGACCCGCGCGAGCGCGCAGCCAAGCGCAAGGATACGTTGGACGATTTGCCCAAGTGATTCAAGAGGCCGAAGGGCACGAACAAGGCCGACCTCTACTTGGACCCCCAGAACCACGCGGACGAGCTCTACGCAAGTATGCGACTCCGCGAGGCACTGCTCGCGGGCAACGCGACCGCCAAGGAACTGAAGTACGGCGCCCTGCGCGCCTCCGAGAAGAAGGACACGGGCGCCGCCATGAAGACCGAGTGGCCCAAGTGAACGGAGTTCGGCGCCTACGAGAAGCTCCCGCCCAAGGAGCTGAGGGAGCTCCTGCGGCGCAACCCCGGCATCCGCCCTACGGGCACGCGCCGGGCGCAGACTAGCAAGGGCCAGAACTTCATGAAGGCCCGTCTAGTCGTGCAGGGCTGCCAGGAGGACAAATCACATATTGGGACGGACGCGCCAACGGGGTCAAGGGGCGCGCTGTGCCTTACCCTGGCCACCGCGGCCCATAAGACGCAATGGCGGCCCACCTACAAACGGGGAACATCGAGAGGCTGCTGCTCCTGCGCATGCCGGCCAAGAACCAGCCGCCGGGGAAGCGGCCCGGCGAGCTTGCGATGGCCACGGGCGCGATCTACGGGGCGCGCGACGCCGGGAGGCTGCGGTACCTCCACGCCCAGAAGCTCTTCGCCGAACACGGCCTCGCAGAGACCAAGCTCGAGAGGGGCCTGTGCTATTTCTACGACGGAGGTGGGCTCGCCGCGGTCATCCATTCCCACGTGGTCGACTTCCTGATCGCCCAGCGCAACAACTCCACCAAGTGGAAGTCCACTATTGCATCGCTGGGGAAGAAGCTACATCTCAAGCAGGTCGACGGGGTCATCAAGTACTGTGGACGTACCATCACCAAGCTCGACGACGAGTTTCGGGTGACCCAGGCTACCACCGCCTCGCAAGTGAATTACATCGACCTGAAGGTCCCGAAGGGCCGCAATGCCGAGGATCGGCTCACTGCCACCGGGGTAGCGAGCTATCGCCACACGCTCGGGCAACTGCTACGGTTAGCAGTCCAGACCCGGGTGGACATCGCCTGCCCGGTGAGCTTTGCAGCCCGCAGCGCCAACGTCGCCACCGTGGCCGACGCGAAGACCCTGAACAGGACCGTCGCCGACGTGCACTCGACCGCGAACTTCGCGATCGTGCTGAAGCGCGGACTCGTCGACCTGACGACGGCCCCCACCGCGTGCTTCAGCGACGCTGCGTTCGCCAACGTAGATGGGGTCAAGAGCCAGTGGGGCATGGTGATGGGGCTCACTCGCCGCCCGCGCGATGTCGTCGGCGGCCGCTACGACCTGTGCCTACCCGTGGCCTGGCACTCAGGCACGGTCAAGAGGTCGGTGAAGTCGACACTCGCTGCTGAGGGCTACGCATCCCTCGAGGGATCGGAGACCAACATCTGGCTCCGCCAGCTACTGACCGGGGCCTACAGCCCCAAGATGGCGCTCAAGAAGATCGACGTCCTCGCCGACAAGCGCCCTGGGGAGATCTACAGCGACAGCAAGGGTCTCGTGACGCACATCGCTTCTGATGTGGGCCAGTCTACCGACAAGCGATTCCGCATCGTCGCCTCCACGATTAAGGAGGCCGTGCACCCCAACAGCGCATTCAAGCTCAGCTGGATCCCGACCTGGGCCATGGTCGCGGACGCCTTGACCAAGGCAATGGACACCGGCGCCCTGCTGGCATTCTTCGGGGCCCGCAAGCACAGCTACGGGACCCGGCAGCCGCATGCCGCCATGCTCGCATCAGTCCTGTTTACCTGCCTCGGCAAGGTCAATGGACAGCCTACGCCTACGCCGACGGTGCGGGACTACAGCTTCTACATCTGCCTGATGACGTTCACGTTAGTCCTCGGCATGACTATAGGGTTCGGCATCTGCGTGACGCTCTGGACGATCATGAAGCAGAACAGCATGCTCGCCACTGAAGAGCACGTCGCCGAGGCGAAGGCAATGGGCGAGCACCCCGGCTGGGACGGCCGCGTGCTTGGCCGGTGCCGTAATATTCCAGCTACAATCCCCGAAGATCGTGATTACGACGGCGACATCACGATGCACCCCTCGGACGGACACAGCAGTGTACAGGCATCGACTTCATCAGCATCGGCGTCCGGCGTATCTCTCGGACACCACCCATCGCAGCTTCCGACATCAACACCATCGCCGCCACTGCTGCCGCCAGAACCACCACCTGCCAGCGCACCACCTACCGCAACTCCAGCACGATCGAGGTCAGCGAGATCTCAAAGTTCAGTTTCAGCCCCTACCTCACCAAGCGTAGTCACCGTATCGAGTTCATCGTGTTCAATATCTGCGAGTGTGGCTTCGTGGAGTGGTTCCTCGCCGACGGTATCGCCGAACGAGATGCTCAACTGTGTGACCGTCGTCCAACGCCATGGTTTCAGAATCGGGCATAATCCGCACAGCGCCTACATTACCTGCAAAACCTGCAAGAAGCGTTCGTCATGATTTCTCCGGCTCTACAGGCACAGCAATTCCGATGTCACATATTTCCCCGAAAGCGTGATGAATGATCTCATGGGCCATTAGAGGAGGAGGCTCACCGGCAGAGAGGGCTGGCGCGGACCTGACCTGATGGACAAGTCAACGAAGCCCAAGAAGGAAATATTAACTTCGTTTGTTGTCTGGACGGCACGTTGGCCAGTCGAACCAGAAAATATGATGCTGCTCTGTTTTCACACCCGGTTACTCATACGTAGGTCCGCATTGCTGCTCGATATCACACCCGGCTACTTACACGTAAGTCCGTATTGTTGCTCGATTTTCACACCCGGCTACTTACACGTAAGTCCGCATTGCGGTTCTGTTTTCATACGTAGTTATTCACACGTAAATCCGCATCTTAAAGAAGCTTTATTCAGTGTGCACACGTTTTGTTTCGAAGATGCTAAGACGATCACACCCATTCAAATCTTATCTCGATAAAGATAGTGGATTGGGGGGTTTTGTGAAACATGTGGCCACCTAAAGGCACATGCAGCGCAAACCGTCCACTCCCAACACCGACGCGACGCCACCCCGATCCCCGCACCCGTGCCAGGCACCCTCTCACCAACGCCCCCCTCCAGCGCAAAACAAATAACAACCTTTGTGTTTGTGTGTGTTTGTTATGTTCTGATTGTCGCTTCACGATCGAACCCTTGCTACTGCTAGCCTTGCTTGTTTTTGATTAGGGCCGGCGGCGCCGAGAGCTGATAATATCCTGCAGGTCGCGTGTAGCTCATCCGCTTAAGTGCCCAAGGGGCTGCCTGCTATGCAAGCCGTGTCGAGGCGTTTGCTCGCCTTCTGCCAGCACGCCTGGCACTCTGCTTAACGAAGAGCCAGGCTTATATGCCCGGCTGCCCTGGCGCCTCAGCCTCTTGCGCCAGCGCACCGTGCAGGAGGAGTGTGATTCCAGAAGGCTCGCGGTCCTTCTCACCCGTTCTCTGCTCTCCCGCTGCTCGCTCCCATCTCTCTTCCCGCTGCCGTATTGGTGACGAAACATTTCAGGGCCCTTGGCCTTAGAGCTACGCCAGTTGTTCGAGCCGCGCTCAGGTTTTAGCCTGCAGGCTCGCGATATGGGCACGCGGCTGCCGTTTCGATAGCTGGCGAGATTCCGACACAAGATGTCATCCTCCTGCCGAGGTTGCCGCTGCGTATGTTTGTCATCTTTGCCGCCCGTTCCCCCTTCATACTTCCCATCCTTCCTCCCATTCTTCCCACTCCTCCCACTCCTCTTCCTCCTCCTCCTCCTCCTCCTCCTCCTCCTCCTCCTCCTCCTCCTCCTCTTCCTCTGTTGCCTCCTTTTGTTTCTCCTCTTATTTCTCGTCTTGTTCCTCCTCTTTCTCCTCTTTCTCCTCCTCCTCCTCCCCCTCCACCTCCTCCTCCTCCTCCTCCTCCTCCTCCTCCTCCTCTGTTGCCTCCTTGTGTTTCTCCTCTTGTTTCTCGTCTTGTTCCTCCTCTTTCTCCTCTTTCTCCTCCTCCTCCTCCCCCTCCACCTCCTCCTCCTCCTCCTCTTTTGCCTCCTTTTGTTTCTCCTCTTATTTCTCGTCTTGTTCCTCCTCTTTCTCCTCTTTCTCCTCCGCCTCCTCCTCCTCCTCCTCCTCCTCCTCCTCCTCCTCTCCTCCTCCTCCTCCCCTCCTCCTCCTCCCTCCCTCTCCTCCTCCTCCTCCTCCTCCTCCCCCTCCCCCTCCCCTCCTCCTCCTCCTCCTCCCCCTCCCCTCCTCCTCCTCCTCCTCCTCCTCCTCCTCCTCCTCCTCCTCCTCCTCCTCCTCCTCCTCCTCCTCCTTCTCTAACCTGCCCCGTCCTGCTCATTTCTCCTCCACATCCCTCCCTGGAAAGCCTTGGGGGGTCCTCAGAGGTCCCAGGAGACCAGGCCCTCAGACGCCTGCGCCCCCCCCCCCCCCCTTCCCCCGAAACAGCAAACACCACTCCCTCGATCCTCGATCACCCCGCCGCGACTGGGACCCGCCGTGGCCTGCTTCCTGCCCCGGGGCTCCCAGGGAGCCCCCAGGGGAGCCCCCGACGGCCGCCAAGGGCCCCCTCGAGCCCTGGGACCTCGACCCTCGAGCCTCGGACCTCGACCCCGGAGGGCCACAGAGGGCCGTCTCGAGCCGCGACCCTCGGACCCTCGAACCTCCGGCGAGGGCCTGTGCCGAGAGCCAGCGCGCGGCCTTGGGCCAGGCCGTCATCTGCGGGCTCCATGGGCCATGTCCGCGGGGGACCCGCGGGGCCGCGCCTTTGGCTGGCCGGGGCGGCACGGAGGCCCAGGAGGCAGCAGCCAGCAGCAGGGCGAGGAGGGGGAGAGGGCTGCACATACTCGGTGAGGGCATGATCTCTCCGCGCCCGAGGACCTGCACGCCACAAAAGCAGTCTCACTGGCGGCCCTGGCGCTCTCAGCGGGTCAACGCTTCCCCGCCCGTCCACGCGCTCGCTCTCCCTGGTGTCCCCGGCGCTCTCAGCGGGTCGCCACTTCCCTGCCTGTCCACGCGCTCCCTCGGTGAGGGCATCGGAGACAGAACCCCTGGATAACGAATCTAGGGTCGGGAAGCCAGTGGGACACCAATTGAGGCTTGGCCATCTCACCGCCGCCCCCATCAGAGAAGGACCCCTCCAGGGTCTGAAGTCTCCTGGGCACATGCCTTAACTCGGCTACTTGCAAGAGTGCCCCTGGGTAAGAGTGACCGTTTGTGCGCAGCTTTGGGGGGCACGAGGGAGCCAGGTTCAAGGGCGCGGGCCGCTTATACCGCATCGCGCTCGGCGATCGGGGGGAGCCCGCTGAGCCCGCACCAAAGGTCACTCCGGCGAAAGGTCACTCTCACGCGTAGTCGATTGACAAACGCCCCACCCGTAGACGGGGAAGCATCGGCAGGGGGAGAAGGGGGGGAACATCGAGCTGGCACCGGCGATATGTCGCTGACAGAGCGGCGCCAGGCCCCCCGTAATTAGCAAAGCCGCGCGTGCCCGGTCAGGGCGGGCTCTCGGGCCCGTCGTCGGCCAGGAGTGGGCGATCGGGGGTCGACGCGTCCCCCCCTCCTGAGCCTACAGTCGACCCGTGTCACGCGGACGCGCGACGAGGATGCAAGGGCCTTGGAAGGCCATGTCGACACTTTGCGGGCGGGGCGCGGCCAGCGAAGGCGGCCAAGGGTGGGCCGAAGGGGAAGGATGCAAGGGCAGCCTTGGGAAAGTTGCTCGTCCTCACCCTGCGGGTTGACGGTATCTGATGGGCTCGTGTTCCACCATCACCACCACAAGTTGGAGGGGGGGAAGGAGGTGGAGGACGAGGAGGACGAGGAGGACGAGGAAGAAGAAGAGGGGGAGGAGGACCCCCTCCCCCCTCCAACTTATGGCGGTGGTGGTGGAAAACAGGCCCGTCAGTGCCCCCTCCGAACGTTGCCCCCGGCCAGGAGGCAGCAGCCAGCAGCACGGCAGGGAGAGAGAGGGGGCCACGCACCTATAGCCCGCGGCACGCAGCAGCAAGGAGAAGGCCGAGGGGGCGGGCCTCCTCCGTGGGCCGTGCGCCTGGGGCTTTGCTGCGCTCCTGCTCGTTAACATCCGTCGCGCGTGCGGAGCTGCACCGTCAATGCCGCGCTCTCCTGCGGCGCTGCTGCGCTCCTGCTCGCAGCGCACACCGCCAGGGGCGGCGGAGAGCTTCAGGGATCCACCTGCCAAAAGTTCCGCGCGCCCCCCCGGAGAAGGGGCAGCTCCCCGGCGGCCCGGGCCGCTGCCCGCGGGGGGCGCGGGCCTCTCTCTCTCGCGCCCCCTCGGGCGACCCCGCCTGCCGGGGGGGGGGCGCAGCGCTCGGGCCGACGCCCCTCGCGCCCAGGCGCGCACGACGACACGACGGGATCGGGTGTCCTCGGGTGGGGAGTCGTCAGGTCTCGCTCCTCGGCCAGCTGGCGGAGGGGAGGAGGGGAGCAGGAGGAGGGGGAGGAGGGCGAGGGCGAGGGCGGGGGCTGGGGCGGGGACAGTGACCGCGGCGAGATCGACGACGGGGACGACCAGGGCAAGGACGACGATAAGGACGACGACGACGACGAAGACGACAACAAGGGCAAAAACGAGGACGACGACAACGCGGAGGGCGAAGACGAGGGCGACGACCAGAACCAAGACGAGGACGACGACGAGGCCGAGGGCGAGGGCGACGACCAGGACAAGGACGACAACGAGGACAATGACGAGGACGCGTGCGAGAACGAACGGGTAGAGGCTCCGCGGGGGATCGGCCTTGCAGAGCCGCTGCTCGATGCACCCTCGCTGATGTCAGCCTCCGAACAAATGTTAGCCCCAGGATTCACGCGTGCAGCCGTTCGGGATGGCGGGAAGAAATTCAGTGGCATCAAAACCTTTGACTGCCGTCAAAACACAATTAGCCCTTCTCCTCCTCCACCTCCTCCTCCTCCGCCTCCACCTCCTCCTCCTCCTCCTCCTCCTCCTCCTCCTCCTCCTCCTCCTCCTCCTCATCATCATCATCACCATCATCATCATCATCATCATCATCATCATCATCATCAGCATCAGCATCAGCATCAGCATCATCTTCATCAGCATCAGCATCATCATCATCATAATCATCATCATCGTTGTCGTCGTCATCACCACCATCCCCATCCCCATCACCATCAACATCAGCATGACTATCAGCATGAGCATTCGCCGCACCCTCATCATCATCATCATCATCATCATCATCATCCTCATCATCCTCATCATCATCATCATCATCATCATCAACATCAACACATAATCATCGGCATAATCAGCATCAGTATTATAATCGTCGTCATCACCACGATTACCACCAACTAGAAGAACGTCAGCGGTACCAACAACAGCATCAGCATCAACATTACCAGCATAGCATCATCAGCATCCTCATCAGCATCCGCATCATCATCAGCAGCATCACCATCGTCATTATAAGCGTCAGCGTCGTCATCAACAGCATCTTCATCAACATCGCCATGATCATCGTCGAAATCGGCATCATCACCATAAGCCTCAGCATCATCAACATCATCACCATACTCATCCGCTTCCTCATCATCATCCGCATCAAAATCAACAGCATCAGCATCATCACCACCACCGGCAGCATCATCGGCATCGCCATGGTTATCGTCATAACCAGCAACATCGGCATCAGCATACTCAGCATACGCGAAATAATGAGCATCGTAGTCATCATCGTACTGGTAACCATCAGCAAAACCACCCACAGACTCATCAGAACCATCAGCATCCCCGTAAGCATAAGCATCATCAGTCAACATACCACTAGCATATCGATATACCCCTCATCAGCATAACCATCACCAGCAGCATCATCATAAGCCATCATACTCATCATCAGCATCTTCGCCGCCGCCGCTGTCGTCGTCATAATCAGTAGCAGCAGCAGCAGCAGCAGCAGCATCAGTACAATCATCCTCATCATTAGAATCGTCAGCACCATCAGTATCATCATCACCTTCATCATTGTCATCATCGACCTCGGCATCGTCGTCATCGTCATCATCATCATTAGCATCATGAGCACAATCATCAGCACCAACACAATCATTCCGATCGTCATCAGCACCATCATCATCGCCATCACCATCAATCGTTCCCCCTTCACCTCCTCCTTATTCTCCTCCTCCTCCTCAACCTGCTCCTCCTCCTCCTCCTCTTCGTCCTCCTCCTCCTCCTCCTCCTCCTCCTCCTCCTCCTCCTCCTCCCCCTCCTCCTCCTCCGCCTCCATCGAGTGGAAGTCAAGGCAACCGGGGCAGGGAACCCCACTGGGGGCGCCAGGACAACGCCAGAGCGCTCACCAGAGGGCGCACACTGAGTGCCGCAAGGGGATGTTCCCGAAGAGCCCCCCGAGCGCGCCCCGAACAGTGCACCGCCAGAAAACGTCCACATCCACAAATGAATAATGGAGTCCTGCACGTTCCTGCCCTCAGAGGCGGGAAGATGTCCATGCCAACCGCTCCTCGAAAGATCCTCGAGGCCTCGAGGCTAGACTCCGAAGCGGCGGGCGTGGATGTACTCCAGCTGTGAAAAGAACACGGGAAAGAAGCAAGTCTTCGGCGCCCCCGGATCAGTTTCGGCGGAGAGCCAGGGTGGGTGGGGCGAGGGGTGGGTGGAGGTTTGGGCGGGGGGGAAGCCCAGACCCCCGACGTCACGATTGTTTCATGACGTCGACTCCCAGAGGTCTGGACCCATTCTCCAGGACCGGTTTCTCATCCTGAGTCGTCCTTTGACGGCCCCGAGGCCCCGTATGAGCCCCCAGAGGCCGAAAAGAGCAAAAAACCGTCCGCCGTGCTTTTTTCATGTCCCGAGGGGGCCTGGGAAGGAGGGCTTCTTGGAGGGCAGGGGTGCTTTTTCGGGGGGCGGGGCGGGGGGGCGGACGGCCTCCGAGCAGGGCTTCCCGAGAGGGCAGGAAGGGCCCTCAGAGAGGGCCCCACCCCCCGCCCTCTCCAAGAGGCCGCCGCGCCGGCCCCTTGCCCGCGCCGCCAGCTCCCCCCGTCGGCGGCCACGCCCGTGCCAGGACTCGAGCATTCAGGCAGGCCCATCTCGTTCCTCCTCCCTCCTACTGAATGCTCCCCTCCCTCCTGGGAGGGGGGATTGATGGGCCTGTCTTCCACCACCACCACCATGAGTTGGAGGGGGAGGGGGTCCTCCTCCTCCTCCTCCTCCTCCTCCTCCTCCTCCTCCTCCTCCTCCTCCTCCTTATCCTTACCCTCCTCCTCCGTCCCCCCTCCAACTTATGGTGGTGGTGGTGGAAACCAGGCCCATCAGGGATGGAGGAGCAACGACGTGGACCTGTACAGTCGTCCTGCTCCGACGCGTGCCAGCGCTGGGAGGCGCCCAACCCGGGAGCCCGAGCGTTAGATCGGGCCTGTCCCCCTACAGGGGGATTTTGGACGAAAAATTAAAAATAACCACAGATATTGACAAGATGCACAAAAATACTCCACAAATCCGCCGGCCCCCTTGCGGGGCCATCAGGCTGCGAGGCTTAAGCTTGCTGGTCCCTGCACCAGATCCAACTTCCAGTTTCCATTGTTACAGTGCTGCTTTCTGCTTCCTACTGTAAATTGTACTGTCCGCGCGAGGGGGGGGGAGCCGAAAGCCAGCCTGGTTAGCGTCCCCCCGGAGGGTTCTCAGAATTCCGAGGGGGGTAAACATTGACAACCCTCACGCAGATCGGCGGGGTC